CCAGGCCAAGAATTCGAACCTGTTGTTGATTACGGCTGGTTTGTTGTTTAACGCCGCACTCAGCAATATCCCAGCTATATGGCGGCGGCTGGTAAATCATCGAGTCTGGGCCAGACAGTCCAGTGATCAGTATCATGAGCATCGATCTACGCAGTTGGGATACGATGACATGTGTCAACCAAGTCAGCGAGCCAGACCACCCGATCCCGTTTGTGGTCTCTTACGACAATAATGGGTTGTTGCAGATCACATCTATATATAGTGTTGACAACATACGAATTATAATCAACATCAGTCTGGGATTCCATCTTTGCCCAAGAACCTTCAGAATGAAAACGATTAACTCAACCCTCGTAATAAACTCATGCGAGTTAAATACACTGTAGTGCGGCATAAAACAATACCAACTCCCCCATAACCGATTGTTGCACTGCTCCACATACACAAAAATACACCACTTTATTATTCATAATATCAATTACGGCAGTGATGTGTTAACGGTTAAAGTGTTGGAATGAAACAGCACCCGCGGTTCTATAATTTATCACACCCCGCGGTGTGTTGACAACGAGCGCGGCCGATAAATTGTCTGGTGTTCTATGCCCTCTTGGGACAAACGGCCATCAGGATAGGATTAGCATCGCTACCCACTGTATTCATTGACTTATACTCATCTGATGTGTATCGTGTGAAATGCTGCCTGGATAGCCGATTTTGGATGATGGATATCCATGACACTGCATGCGCTAGACATTTGTCAAACGAAGTGCAGCCAAATATTTTCTCCAATAATTATTTAATATTCCGATTTTCCGCCGTCTCTGTGATGAATATGTTTTATCTTGCGCAGCCCTCCTGTCTAATATTCCACTTAATCAACCTTATGTGTTCGAACATAAATAATCCTCGCGTACAAAAACTGAGCATTATCGGTTCCTGATGTTGAAATTGGTGAATTGAAGAGACATCGATTTCCGTATCCAATATCAACCACGATGATTGTTGGGACTCCATAGTGTCCCTTTAAATCTATAGCGTCTTCATATGTAACCGGAATTTGGATAGCTGTCTATTTTCAAGCACCCGTGTGTTCAACGAAACGTCTAAACATCGAACTCTAACATAATTACTTAAATGGCATATGTGTTAGAAAATTCACAGGGCTTCTTTTCTAAGATAATTCCAGACGTCCTGAGTGTAAGTCTCAAAGTCCACTTTCTACAACACAATATGCGCACACTTGATGATGTTTATGTGAAGCAGAAGGTTGTAAAGTGCCGGGCGAAAGAAGGTTTGTTTGCTTGTTTTTTTTGTTTGACGACACACATTCCATCTATAAGACGCCGGTTTGTAAGTTATCGAGTCCGCACCAGACAATCCAGTGATTGACAACGATCTACGCAGTCGGGACACAAAGCTTAAGATAGGCATCAACCGAGAGCCTGACTGGCATCTGTTAGACATATCAGCTATATTACAGTGACGTTACTGAACAAGTCTGGATCAAACAAACTAGTGGTTGATGTCTTGATCAACAGTCAACGTCGCTATGTTGCTAAAAGCGGCGCAAAATCATACTCACTCTCTCACTCACTCACTCACTTTCTTTCATCGCGTATAATACGTTAAGTCTGCAGCTCTTGACAACTCTTTTTTCTCCCAAATGTCAGTGCCATCGCTGGACACGATGACGTAATGTTCTCATATATGTACGCTGAACTGATCAATATCTTTGAACTTTGGTATTACTTTTTGCAAATGCATAACAATTAGCGTAATTGCCATCGAGGTATAAAGAATGCTTCATGGTGAGAAGTACCCCTCTTGAAGGTATGGAATCAAAGTCCCAGTGTATTATTTAGTTGGGCTGACCAATTTCTCCACCAATTAACCAACATTACACGTTTTGTCCACTAATTAACACGGTTAGAGAAATACGTCGCACTTTCAAACACCCTTTCATCCAATCCCAAAATCTAAATTGACCGTCGGCTAATGACTTATGGATGTGCATTATGTATTCAGATAAACAGCTTGCTGCCAGCGCACCGCGTGCGCACAGTCATTAGATGTTTGTTAGATTCAATGTAGTGCAGATGTTAAAAGCAGGATTTTATTTTCAAACAAACAATGCTCCGTTATCGGAAAGTGGAAAACAACGTTAACAAGTTGAAAGGCAAATAGCAATGTATTTTTCGTGATAAGTTAAGAGTGAGTGAGTAAGTTTGTGTTTGACGCCGTGGTAATATATCAGTTCATCACGGTGGGTTCCTTTGAGTGTGCGGTGGGGTAGCCTAGTGGTTAAAGCGTTGACTCGTCATGCCAAAGACCCAGGTTCACTTCCCTACATGAGTTCAATGTGTGGGGCCCATTTTTGGTGTACCCCGCCGTGATATTGCTGGACTATTGCTAAAAGCGGCGTAAAACCATACTCACTCACTCATTTGAGTGTGAGTGAGTGAGTTTAGTTTTAAGCCTCTTTTAGCAATATTCCAGCAATACCATGGCGGGGGACACCAGAAATGGGCTTTACTTTACCCTACCGCTGCTCGAAGTAGACAGTTTAGGGTGTTTTCGTAAATGGTTATGTATGATGGCGTTACGTCAATGTTTGTGTGGTGGCGTTACGTAAATAGTGGTATGGTGGTGTGACGTAAATGTTTGTATGGTGGTGTGACGTAAATGTTTGTATGGTGGTGTGACATAAATGTTTGTATGGTGGAGTGACGTAAATAGTGGTATGGTGGTGTGACGTAAATGTTTGTTTGGTGGTGTGACGTAAATGTTTGTATGGTGGTGTGACGTAAATGTTTGTATGGTGGAGTGACGTAAATAGTGGTATGGTGGTGTGACGTAAATGTTTGTTTGGTGGTGTGACGTAAATGTTTGTTTGGTGGTGTGACGTAAATAGTGGTATGGTGGTGTGACGTAAATGTTTGTATGGTGGTGTGACGTAAATGTTTGTATGGTGGTGTGACGTAAATGTTTGTTTGGTGGTGTGACGTAAATGTTTGTTATGGTGGTGTGACGTAAATGATTGTATGGTGGTGTGACGTAAATGTTTGTATGGTGGTGTGACGTAAATGTTTGTATGGTGGAGTGACGTAAATAATGGTATGGTGGTGTGACGTAAATGATTGTATGGTGGTGTGACGTAAATGATTGTATGGTGGTGTGACGTAAATGTTTGTATGGTGGAGTGACGTAAATAGTTGTATGGTGGTGTGACGTAAATGTTTGTTTGGTGGTGTGACGTAAATGTTTGTATGGTGGAGTGACGTAAATAGTGGTATGGTGGTGTGACGTAAATGTTTGTATGGTGGTGTGACGTAAATAGTGGTATGGTGGTGTGACGTAAATGTTTGTATGGTGGTGTGACGTAAATAGTGGTATGGTGGTGTGACGTAAATGTTTGTATGGTGGTGTGACGTAAATAGTGGTATGGTGGTGTGACGTAAATGTTTGTATGGTGGTGTGACGTAAATAGTGGTATGGTGGTGTGACGTAAATGTTTGTATGGTGGTGTGACGTAAATAGTGGTATGGTGGTGTGACGTAAATGTTTGTTTGGTGGTGTGACGTAACTGTTTGTATGGTGGTGTGACGTAAATGCTCGTTTGGTGGTGTGACGTAAATGTTTGTTTGGTGGTGTGACATAAGTGGTGTGACGTAAATGCTCGTTTGGTGGTGTGACGTAAATGTTTATTTGGTGGTGTGACGTAAATGTTTGTTTGGTGGTGTGACGCAAATGATTGTATGGTAGAGTGACGTAAATGATTGTATGGCGGTGTGACGTAAATGATTGTATGGTGGTGTGACGTACATGTTTGTTTGGTGGTGTGACGTAAATGTTTGTTTGGTGGTGTGACGTAAATGATTGTATGGTAGAGTGACGTAAATGATTGTTTGGTGGTGTGACGTAAATGTTTGTATGGTGGTGTGACGTAAATGCTCGTTTGGTGGTGTGACGTAAATGTTTGTTTGGTGGTGTGACGTAAGTGGTGTGACGTAAATGCTCGTTTGGTGGTGTGACGTAAATGTTTATTTGGTGGTGTGACGTAAATGTTTGTTTGGTGGTGTGACGCAAATGATTGTATGGTAGAGTGACGTAAATGATTGTATGGCGGTGTGACGTAAATGATTGTATGGTGGTGTGACGTACATGTTTGTTTGGTGGTGTGACGTAAATGTTTGTTTGGTGGTGTGACGTAAATGATTGTATGGTAGAGTGACGTAAATGATTGTTTGGTGGTGTGACGTAAATGTTTGTTTCGTGGTGTGACGTAACTGTTTGTATGGTGGTGTGACGTAAATGCTCGTTTGGTGGTGTGACGTAAATGTTTGTTTGGTGGTGTGACGTAAATGTTTGTTTGGTGGTGTGACGTAAATGTTTGTTTGGTGGTGTGACGTAAATGTTTGTTTGGTGGTGTGACGTAAATGATTGTATGGTAGAGTGACGTAAATGATTGTATGGTGTGACGTAAATGACGTAAATGTTTGTTTGGTGGTGTGACGTAAATGTTTGTTTGGTGGTGTGACGTAAATGATTGTATGGTAGAGTGACGTAAATGATTGTATGGTGGTGTGACGTAAATGATTGTATGGTGGTGTGACGTAAATGTTTGGTGGTGTGACGTAAATGTTTGTTTGGTGGTGTGACGTAAATGTTTGTTTGGTGGTGTGACGTAAATAGTGGTATGGTGGTGTGACGTTAATGTTTGTTTGGTGGTGTGACGTAAATGATTGTATGGTGGTGTGACGTAAATGTTTGTATGGTGTGACGTAAATGTTTGTAAATGGTGGTGTGACGTAAATGATTGTATGGTGGTGTGACGTAAATGATTGTATGGTGGTGTGACGTAAATGTTTGTATGTTGGTGTGACGTAAATGTTTGTATGGTGGTGTGACGTAAATGTTTGTATGGTGGTGTGACGGAAATGTTTGTATGGTGTTTCCAGTTTCTGTGTTTGGCTATATGACGTGAATTTTCTGTATTACAGACAGGAATCCTACCTACTAGTCCCTGTGGTGGTTCTCCATGGTATCCTGTTTGTGTGTATGGTGGTATCCAGCTGTATTGTCACCAATGGTTTTCACGCATGGTGCCACAATCTGGAGAAAAACACCCTTAACAAGTACGTATTCACTTTGGTGAGCTACATGTCGTGATGTCTGCTGAATATGAGTATTTAATACCGTAATCAATATTTGGATAATGTTTGACCACGTGTTAGACCCGTAGAGTCCCGATATACGATAGATCACGAGCACTGTATATAGTGTGCCCCAGACCGATGAGAAAAACAAAGACCACGTGTTCACATCAGTAATCCTTGTGTGTATCTTGATGAAAGTATCTTGCAAATCAAACGACGGATTTTCTTACTGTTTAATATTAAATCACATTTTTAATAATGAGAATTGTAAAACAAAACAAAAGGAATGTTAATGTTAAGTTGTCAATGGATCATGAATGATGTAGACAGTCTGGCACATCAGTACTACTGCATTACTCTCTGCGTTTTAAACTTCAGGCTGATGTGGATGGGTAGTATAATGCCTGCTCTGTGTTTGCAGGTACACGTGCACTGACCTACAGAGCATGCACTGGTCACTCTTTCGTAGGACGCAAAGCTTCTACACATATTATCAGATAGCAGAGGTAAGTACACCACACCACACCACACCACACCACACCACTACACACACACCACTCCACACCACTACACACCACACCACTCCACACCACACCACACCACTCCACACACACACCACACCACACCACACCACACAACACCACTCCACACACACCACTCCACACCACTACACACCACACCACACCACTACACACCACACCACACCACACCACACCACACAACACCACTACACACAACACCACACCATACCACACCCGGAAATATTTAATAGTCGATCCCTTAAGTCCTTCTCTATAATTTGTTAAATCCACATCCCAGGCAATCTATTTCAAACGTTCAAAGAACGAGAACAAACTGGATTTTAAAGGCGACAAATGCAAAAATACCTAATCTGATACTCGTATAATGCGGTGGCATTTCGTGGGGTTTTGTTGTTGTATCGAAGTTCAATTATCATTCCATGTCCATGGGTCAATCACGATACCTGTTCTAAATTAATGTATTTATATTCAAAGTGTTCGTACACGGTAGTGTCAGTGTACATTTCCCCCTGTCTCTACGATGGTATCACTTGTAGACTTTATAACGGTTTTGCTTTCCGAGACATGTAATGCGATCTTTCAGCATGGGTAATCACAGGCAGAAATAAATCCTGTAATCTAAATCGTCAACCGTCTGGATGATAACACTACTTGACGAACTAACTTAACTACATTGTATTTGCATTTACATTCTGACCCAATCCCGTGTTAGAATTGGTCTACAGCGACCTGTGCCGTGCCGCTTTTCGCAAGGCAATAGTGGAGCTGCGACTTACTTAAGTGTATATTAAGTATAGAAGTTACGATAGTCGTAGCGCTAAGACAGCTTTTAGAACTTGACCCAGGGCCCCGTTTCGGAAAGCTATCGTAGCGCTACGACTGTCGTAAGTCTATGTTACCCTAAGATGATCGTAACTCCCGTACTTTAACACAGACTTACGACAGTCGTAGCGCTACGATCGCTTTGAGGAACGGGGCCCAGGTCCTAACAAGCAGCTAATGGATCGTCATCGTAGGCGGACACTGGGTGACGCTCATAACATCAACCACTGATTCATCTGTTCAAGACACATTTATGTACAGGCCGAAGTTATACAGATGGAATATTGCTTACTGCGTGCGGCATTTAGCAATAAATAAAACAAGATAAACATTTTCCTTCCTCAGCGCTAAGTATCACAAGGTCGGAGAAGCAGGCATTATCAACAGAAAGTAGCTTGCTAGTCCTTTCTCAGGCCCATACAAGTTAGTTGTTTGTTCTTGGAAACCTTATAATGTTTATCATCAACAAGTTACTCCACGTAAGAACGTCATTATCTACTTTGGCAAAACGGCCTGTCTTGTAAAGTGTAGGAAGTATTAATGCTGCTGCTGCTGATGATATATCGAGCCGCAAGGAAGCGGATTCATTTGTTTTACGTAAGATGTGCCAACGATGTTCTTTTTAAATCAATAAATACCAATTTAAGAACTTCCTTTTTCTTTGAAATAATCCGAAAAATATATCATCAATTTTATGATGCCTAACCGGTGAAATTTTCGAGTTAGAGTAAATATGGCATCGCTGGTCGATGAGAAACTAGTAAAAACGACTGCCGCCCGTATCTCAATCGAGTTGCATCACGTAACGTGAGTGTCGTTATGGTGTATGGATAAGTATCCCCACAGAAGACTTATTACAGGCGGCACAAAGGGGGTGCGTAAACCACGACATATATTGATTCTAACATTGAAATCACGGGCTGCCTAAGTAAAGATAGTTATTTGGGGACTGAGTGCTGTATCTATGAGCTGGTGTTGTAAGGGTTGCCTGAGATTCCGCACTAATAAACGCTTTTACTGTGCCGCATCTCCATATATTTTTAACGTTTTGTAAAGAGATCAGACACGTCAGTTGAACAAGAAATTTTAGGAAGTGACTGTTAATGTTGTCTGAGCCTTATCTGGTTTAACGTTGGGGCACAGGCTGAAATTGGTCACAAGAATTCCATGCATGTCAGAGTCAGCTAATGTGGATCGGATGATAACAATGGCAGACTGATTGTGTATTACGAGATTGTTCTTGCTCTTAACCACTGAAAGACGTGTAGACTAACACTTGGTCTCTGAAAATATATAATTTTGATAGAAATCCTTTAAAATCGGAAAGGGGCCCCAAGTGTGATCGGAGATTCAGAACCTGAGGAAATCTAGACTTGCATCATTTCGGGCTTAAGCATTGCAGAAGGGGCTGGGCGGAAGGCAAAATAATGTGGTTCAGGGACTGTGAGACAGACTACACTTTTGTTCAGAAGCTGCTGTCGGGCATGCATGCTGTCGGGTACCCGCGCAATGATTGTCGCGTTCCCTTTCTATACTACGCCCGTAAGCAATTGCACCAGCAACCAACAGTCCAGATCCACCAAGATCTACATGTACTGATCGGTACGAAATACACAAACAATGATATTGCGTCTTTCTTTCTTTCTTTTTGTTTCTCTTGTGAACGCCCGATCGTCACATCGCTTTTTCGGATGTTCTGTTTCAAAGCCATTTTAAATAAACCATGAACTGAAAAATTTGATACATCTAGCAATGGCAACGCATTGTTGCTTGTCAACCATCACCTATATTGGCAGTTGCTCTACAATGGGTGTAATCTCATGAAACATGAATGTCTGGTAATGTTTTTTGTCGGGCTTAATGGAATCTGGCGGCCACAAAATAGCTTTGTAACTACCACTTCATGAATCATATATCATGATCCATCTCACTTGTATTGAAAATAACAGTCGGACTCGGTTCAGGCTGACATTGATAGTATGCTGCACGAAACGGAGTAGCATCACTGTTGGGTATTGCCAAGTTTTAATGTCCTGTATTCGGCTCTTTTGTCTCTATTTATTTAGCCTGAGGATGGCCTAGCCCTTAAGGTGTTCGCTCGCTCCGCCAATGGCCCGGGTTCTATTTTGTACATGGGTAAGCGTAGTGTGACGTGGTCACATAAGCTCCGCCCACTCATGTTTATTTATGATTACTGTGCACTTAAGACCCTTGTAGGTTTAAGGGCACCACAAACGTATGAAGCCAATTTCGTGTGGTCTCCGCCTTTGATATTGCTAGAATATTGCTAAACGCGGCGTAAAAATACTCACGCACTCAAACTATGTTATGTGTCTCACTGCGATTTATTTAATAATAATAATGAACTATAATTTTCTTCATAGTCTACCTAACCGACAATTACTGGAACAGAAGTAGCGTTGAAACGTTCAACCGTAAGCAACAACCACATCACGGCGGATGCCATCAAAGGAGGAATGTCATTTGCGTAGATTGCGATTCCCAATTGCGTAGATCGATGCTCATGCTGTTGATCACATTGTCTGGCACGGACTCGATTATTTACAGACCGCCACCATATAGCTGGAATATTGCTGAGTGCAGCGTTAACCAGCAAACAAACCATCATTCACAAGGAGGAAAATGAATCCCGTGACTTTGTGAGTGAACACATTATCCTAGACTACTACAGCGTCTCTTAAATGATAGATACCCAAAACAAATATATATCTCGCTGATTCATTAAACATGTTCATGTACAGATTAATCAGGCAAAAGATTTAACAATGTTTACTAGTGTTGGGAATTTGTTAAAATCTCATAATTGATGATTGGTTCATTACAACCGATCAATCATCGAAAATAATTGGTTTGCGTCATTTATGAAATGCGTTAATGCACAAAAAAATCAGGAAAAAAACATGTAGTTCTTTGGGGTTTTTTTGGGCAAAATTTCAGATCTTTAAAGGAAGACTATATAGTATGGAGGAACACAAATTTCTTAGAGTCTTTAAGATAAATTCAATCATGACTTGGAACGAGCTTGTAGTGCTTATGAAATGTAACAGACAAAACCAACCTATGTGAAAAATAGTGTTAATGAAAACAAGTGTACTAGAATTGTTTGTGTTCGATTATGAGAAAACATGATCGATTGCTTGGTCGTTTAGTCACTGCGACCAATCTTGGATTATTTCAATTAATCGGACCACCACTAATGTTTACATTGAATACTCATATTTCAATTTGTTGCTGTTTTCAGGCTTCAAGCTGGCTCCTCACAATAGCACTGGCCTCGCAATGCGGCCTAACGTTGTACAGGAACTATCGAGAATGGACCTGGGAAGAGCCTTCACCAGATAAAGACAAGACACTGTTGGAGAAAGAAAACGTGCCGAGCGGAGCATATGCGTTCCCAGCGATTGAAACCGACACGGGATCCTTGAACTTTGCTTCAGAAGTTTCGGTACCCGTCAGCGACAGCGGACGAGGCTCCTTACCGGGAAGGGAGAGTTCAAGAAACTCAAGCAGGAAGAGCCATATCGTATGACAGTTACGTGCAGTGTGAAGTTTCTGCTCAGTCAAGAAGATACATTTGTGTTCTGAGAGCGTCTAGTCTATTCTGTCACTCCTTGCAGCGTTATGCGCTGTTTTTTTAACCATTCGCCATATGCCAGCAGATTTGCAGAGGTCTTCCCGACGGACAAAACTATTTGTCATGATCTTTGAAATGTCTTCAGGGATACGTAATTGTTACCATGGTTACGTCATGATTTCTTTCTCCGATATATTTAAGACTTTTAAAAAATATATGTGTTGGGTAACAACTTGTTCGTTCATATCTTGTCACTGAGAGGGATGGGGGTGGTTATATCAGTGCTACCTTTAAGAATTAAATAACTACTTGTTTCCGCAAAGGAAAAGTGGCCCGGTAGCCCAGTGGTTAAAGGGTTCGCTGGATACCAGGTCTAGTTTCAGCTGCAAATGGGTACCTGTGAGGATGAGTCTGTGTGATAACTCGCTGCGTTTAACAGGCTGCATGAGTTGAATACTCCCCACGGAGTTGAGTTGGTTAAAACAATCCCAGAAAAAAAGACATCCGTTATATCCGTAAGGGAATACTCCAGCGCCTTGAGCATGTACTAGTTGCGTGGATATGTGCGCTATATAAATATCCTATAATAACTAAACTAGACGTGTTGGCAAGCAGAAATGTACGGAAGCCTTTAGGGCATTCTTTTTTTTGTCCGTAAATTTCGTTGATGCAAGAGCTTTTTTTGTGTACAAGTCTTAAGTCGTTACACTGTTAACACGTGGTTGTAATTTTTTAAATCTAACATCTTTTAATTTCAACGAAGTATCTTAAATTTTCAAGAAAAAATATTAATTAAATGGACAAAAAAAGCAATAAAGGGTAATTAACTACAGCATTCTTTTCATGCAAATATATACGCAAGAAACAGTAATGGATTATGGTGCTTTAGTATGTTATTGTCTTTATATTCTCTGTGACATCCATGTGACTAACTGTTACAAACATAACTTTAATCGATGTGTAAAAATTAATATGCAATGATTATGCATGTGAATTAAAACTATGTAACATGTTTGCGTATATTTTAACCCTGTTGCTCTCGGGGTAATGCTGCAAATATTTCAGAAATATTTCAGAGAGCTGTGGAGGCTTGGTCTGTGTTTGCTCAAATATTTTCGAAACTTCATAATTATGCCAGACTTCCTTGTGGTGAAAGGTAAAATAAATACATGTTAATAAGGATTTTCTGAGAATTTACTGTTTATTTAATTTTATTGTCTTTCGGGGCATATATAATACTCAATACACTCGGCATCCACCTTTAACGTCATGGAACTGAGCTGTATTAGACAGATCGTGTAAATGTTTGTAAATATGAAAGTTCTACCATTTTTATCTGGATGTGTAAGTGAGTTTACATTGCATTTTACAATATTTCAGTTATAATACGTCAAACATTGTCTTCACATAATGTATCCATGTGGGGAATCGAACTCCATCCGTCGGCGTGACGAGCGAACACTGTAAGTACTGGGCTTCCCATGCAATAGCCCCTCATTTGTGATGTTCCCTGTCATCAATACTGGACTGTTATTGATTGTCTTGTATTAATGTGTATCACTGATTCCAGTATTGTTATGTCGGTATTTGCAAGTATTTGTGATCTCACCACACGTGCGCCAGTATACAACTGTCATATTTGTACTCATGTTAAATCCAATTGTATTATTTGTACTCATGTTAAATCCAATTGTATTCATGTTGTATGGAATGTATTCTATTCTTGGCCGAAATGCAGTCAACACTTATGATCATGTATTTGATTATAACGTCATTTGTTATGAAATGTTTTCATTTTACTAAACGAATAAACAAGAAAAGTTCAATGTCTTCACTACTGTTCCTGGTTCGCGAGAACATGCTCCTTGACTTACACCTCCATGTATGACTGACTGACTGACTGAGTTTGGTTTTACGCCGCTTTTAGCAATATTCCAGCAACATCACGGCGGGGGACACCAGAAATGGGCTTCACACATTGTACCCATGTGGGGATTCGAACCCGGGTCTTCGGCGTGACGAGCGAACGCTTTAACCATTAGGCTACCCCACCGCCCTCCATGTATGATGTATGAGCTTCATACCTGTACATTGTTGTTAATACCAGCTGTGAAACTGAGACATCCGACATATGCCAGGTTGCCAACTGGATGCAAGATTTATTTTTTGTATACAGCGTATAATGTGAGCTGATAAACAAGGTGGGTTTGTGGACTGGTAAAATGTGTGTGTGTGCGTGCGCTTGTAAAAGTCTGGTCCTATAGACCGGTGTGTGTGCGCCACACTATAAAAGCTACTCCACTTAGACACATTGTACTAGGCTCCAAGGCTACACCTTATTGTACGTACACGCACGCACACACACACACACACACACACATACACACACACACACACACACTCACCGCCGCTCTCCCACGGATGCAGTTAGATGACCTTGAAGGACATGCTAGCCATGTCGTTCTTCCAGCCAGTTCCTCCGCTAAGGCGGTTAAGGAGAGGATTAGTGTATTTGAGTGGTATTTTATTTATATTAGCACTGAATGTCAATACTGAAGCTTTGATCGGAAAAAACTAGTTAAAAGCATAATCTCGGTTAAAACTCCCGGTTCGATTTTTTAGTACGATATATACATGTATCAGGAAGTGCCATGAAACGGGACGCGCGCTGAAGAAACAGGTGACGTGATCATGAAACATGAAATCTGCTCATGAAACACAATCTAATGATTACGGGAACGTCATTGACGTTTTTATTTATAAATATTCATATCAAATGGCACTCGTTTGCGATAATTGCGCACAAATGTAATGAACGGACATCATAGGTGCGAAGTGCTTTTGTGCTTTCCATTTGACATCTCGATAGTCAATAACTCGTTCCAGTTAAACCACAAAGCAAGCCCGCTGTGACAGCTAAAATAGCAGCATTCTTTCTCATGAACTAGTCAATAGCCCCAGTCTTCTGTTATGCTGATAAAATCTTAACACTGCTGCCAGATAATAAGCTGTCATTAACATTAACTATATGAAATCTGTCGAGTCCTAAATAGCGCTCATTTATCACCGCAGCGTTTGATCTCAGTCTTATTCCACAGACGATGTATGTCACAACATTTGTACTTGCATATTGGTTCTGTCTGTAGACATTCCAGAGTTATTATGCCACACAGGTAGCACTTCGTCAGTAACGGGGGGCGGTGGAGTAGCCTAATGGATGAAGTGTCTGCTCGTCACGCTGAAAGCCCGGGTTCGATTCCCCACATGAGTACAATCTGTGAATCCCATTTCTGGTGTCCTCAGTCGTGATATTGCTAGAATATTACGTACAATAAGGTCTAGCCTTGGAGCCCAGTACAATGTGTCTAAGTGGAGTAGCCATGTTATAGTGTGGCATTGTACACCGGTCTATAGGACCAGACTTTTACAAGCGCACGCACGCACACACAAAACAAAAAAAACCCGCATACACACACATTTTACCAGTCCACAAACCCACCTTGTTTATCAGCTCACAGTATACGCTGTATACAAAAAATAAATCTTGCATCCAGTTGGCAACCTAGTATATGTCGGATTTCTCAGTTTCACAGCTGGTATTAACACACTGTACAGGTATGAAGCTCATACATCATACATAGAGGGCGGTGGGGTAGCCTAATGGTTAAAGCGTTGGCTCGTCACGCTGAAAGCCCGGGTTCGATTCCCCACATGAGTACAATCTGTGAAGCCTATTTCTGGTGTCCTCAGTCGTGATATTGCTAGAATATTACTAAAGCTATACTCATTTACTCGTCAGCAATAGATCTGGCACTTTACGATTCACACTATACGAATGGGTTCATTAATAATCTTCATCTGTCTTTGGGGCGGTGGGGTAGCCTAGTGGGTAAAGCGTTCGCTCGTCACGCCGAATGCCCGGGTTCGATTCCCCACATGGGAACAATGTGTGAAGCCCATTTCCGGTGTCCCCGCCGTGATATTGCTGGAATATTGCTAAAAGCGGCGTAAAACCAAACTCACTCACTCACTCACTCATATCTGTCTTTACGACTTGAACTAACATGTTGTCATACAGCGCGATGATATCGACCTGGGACATGTAAATAAGAGCGTGTTTTACATACAGCACATTGCCACGAAGTGATATCGAGGTAGGACTGTATAAAGGAGCATTTTCCTCCGACAACATGGTGCCACGTCATACCATCGAGGTGGGACTGTATAATAGAGTAGTTTTACGGTGCCATGCTGTTACACTGTTCCCTGACTGAGGCACCACTGCTATTTATGATGTCACCGACTAGACAACAATCGAACGCTTGACGTAACAACACAGACTGTCTACTAGAAGGAATTCCTACCTGCACGTGAAACTATCAGGTTCCATAACTCATCCCTATATTACGAGGCCGAAGACCGGGATAGATGTTGGCCGATTATAGATTACGTACATTGGTAATATACCGCTATTATCTATGGTGGCCTGGAGAGGATATCACTTTACTACTTTATCGCCTGGAGTCACGACCACCATGATGCGATGGCAGGAGAGTGAGTGAGTATGGTTTTACGCCGCTTTTAGTAATATTCCACCAAAATCATGACGTGGGGCACCAAGATAGCAGAACAGAACATGATATCGCATTCTTGCGGCCCTAGTTGAAGGCGATAGAGTGATGTCCTCGGCCTCCATAATTATCTCCTCTATATATCAGGTCCCTGCAATAGAATGTCCTGTTGCAAACAACCATGAGTGTTAGGCTACTGAAAATGATTTTATGTCGCCTTGTGCTACAGTCGAGTCGTATTACGTTGGCTCGGGATATTTGTGGTCCGCTTCACTCACTTAGTGACATGACGTTAAATCAGTAATCAAAACGAGGTGTTGGGCCAACAAGAGCCATCTCAACCACCAACAAGAGCCATCTCAACCAACAAGAGCCATATCAACCAACAAGAGCCATCTCAGCCACCAACAAGAGCCATCTCAACCACCAACAAGAGCCATCTCAACCGCCAACAAGAGCCATCTCAGCCACCAACAAGAGCCATCGCAGCTCCCAACAAGAGCAATCTCAACCACCAACAAGAGCCATCTACCACCAACAAGAGCATCTCAACCGCCAACAAGAGCCATCTCAACCGCCGCTTCTCAACCACCAACAAGTCTACCACCAACAAGGCCATCTCAACCGCCAACAAGAGCCATCTCAGCCATAATGCAGTGTTCTCACAAACAAGAGCCATCTCAACCGCCAACAAGAGCCAAGTAACCACCAACAAGTGTCTCAACCACCAACGATTTATCAACCACCAACAAGAGCCAACTAACGAGCCATCTCAACCACCAACAAGAGCCATTCAACCACCAACAAGAGCCATCTCAACCACCAACAAGAGCCATCTCAACCACCAACAAGAGCCAACTCAACCACCAACAAGAGCCATCTCAACCAC